GTGTGTGTGTGTGTGTGTGTGTGTGTGTGTGTGTGTGTGCGTGCGTGCGTGCGTGCGTGCGTGCGTGCGTGCGTGCGTTGGGGGTGCCAGCTAAACTCACAGGAAAATTTACAACCAGAGATAGACTGGTTGACTTGTTCCTGCAGTTTGTCTCAGAATATATTATGAATCTGGAATTTCTTGAAAGAATGCATATCACCTGCTGCTTTACAGGGCAAACGTATAAAAACAACAACAACAACAATAATTTAATTAATTAATTAAAAATAAATAAAACGTTCTGACATGCTGTCAGTGCTTAAACTATATGTTGGAAATAACTCTTAGCCGAAGCCACAACAAAGTTTAGCTGTTTGTGACACTGACTGGGATAAGCTGGGCATCTTTAATGCCAACATTTTAAATAAAGGTTTTGCATGTGTCAGTGCTCAGGATATGTTAGAGAAGACTCTCGGACACCAACAGCACAAATTTCATTTCAGTATTTGTACAAATCACAGACATGTCATTTTTGTGCTTTCTAATATTGATTGTATCAGTTTGACTCCAGAAGTCAATCAATTGTAAATGTGCAGTACAAGCAAAAGTTAATTTCTGGTATCTTTATTCAAACGTATCCACCGGCGATGCATGGTAATCAGTCTGTTCATCTGTTAGCAAAATATTGACTGAATCAGAGGACAGATTTTATTGACAATCAGAATGTAATCACTGGTTATACATATACAGCTGATTAACTTTTGCATTCAACCTGCTTTAAAATGATTTAACACAGTTAATTTTACAGATACTGAGATTAAGTTTTGGTGTGGTAGCAGCTGAGAATCATCCCTGGCGCATAGCTACTCTGAGCACATCTTTTGCAAACAAGCTTGACACGCGATGAGATATATGCATCCCTTCAACGAATGCTGAATTCATTTTACTAACAAACAAATTCACTCTCTCTGTGACGTGCTTTTAAGTGTGTAAAAAGGAGAGAAGTCGAGGTGGTATTTTCCCACCAGTCATGGTAAACTGGTAAATGGTACTGAACTTATAGAGCGCTTTTCAAGTCCCTCCGGACCCCAAAGCGCTTTAAACTAACATTCGCCCATTCACAGTCATGTCTTATCTTGCAATGCAATGAAGTGAAATTTTCAGAGATGCACAAGGAGACCGATCTACTTTTTTGTTTTCTCCCCACCAAGTTGCACGAGTCAAACAAGCAGCATTTGTCTTAAGGCAACTGAGGGCACCATTGTGAACAGGAAGACTACAGTATGAAGATCCAGCTGCTGCCATGGGGCCGTGAACTCAGAATGTCAACACACAGAGGGGGCATTTTCAACCTAATCAACATGACAGCATGGCACAACAGGAGGGAGGACAGAGGGTAGATGGATTTGGCGGGGTCCACCACTTATTTTAACAACCTGGGAATCAACCTTTAATCATGCTCCTTATTGATGGCACCATCAGTCAGAGCGGCCAACACAACACAAGCTGTTATTCCAAGTGGCTCCTTGTCATGTGGGGACCCACACTCCCCGCTGACTCAAATGTAGCACACACTCTACCCAGGCTTGTTGTTTTGTTTGTTTGTTTGTTTGTTTGTTTGTTTGTTTGTTTGTTTGTTTGGCACCGACTCCGTACCTTGAGCTGACTGGAGCAGCCGTACTGGATGAGCGGCGTGAACGTGGTGAGCTGCAGCTCGGCGTCCGACTGCAGCACGTTGCCCACCAGGTTGGGCATCTTGGTGACGTTGTAGCCCAGACCCTGGCACATGCTGATCCGGATCGGGTCGCAGGTCATCTCCTCGTCGTCGTCCTCGCCGAAGGCTTCGACCGCGGCGCGCGGACGCAGCGACGGGAGGAGGAGGAGGAGAAGGACGAGGAGAGAGGAGGAGGAGGCTGCAGCGGGGAGAGAGACCATCGTCCCAGACGCGCGTCTCAGCCTCATGACTGAACTCGTGTAAACAAAAACGAAACAAGTACTGCCTCCGAAATAATAATAATAAAAATAATAATAATAATATACACTCGAAAGGTCGTCTCGGAAACGGAAGCACGTGGATTTGTGTGAAGTCCAGCAGGAGCGGAGCGCGTGGAGTCCGTGCGTCAGCGTGCCATTCACCAAATTTCAACAATCCAGAGGACGCAGCGGTAAAAACCCTCGCGCCTGTTTCCCGCTTCCATAATCAGCACTGATGCAAGTTTTTTTTCTTAATAAATCACCTACATTTTTTTTTCATAAACTCGCCTCCCGTGAAACGCTCCGAAGCTTGCAGAAACTCGCAGCAGCTCCCGTTGTGCGTCTCCACTGCCTGCCTGGAAGCGCCCAGCGCAAAACTTTATTGTGTCTGCCTGTTGAAGGGAGAGCCTTGTCCCCCACACCTCCCTTCCTTCCTTCAACCCTCCTCCTCCTCAGTCCGGAGGAGATCCAACCAATCCCTGCGCGGGAGTTGGGTTTCCCTGACCAACCCATGGCCAGGGGGGGCCGGACCCACCCCCACCCCCCACCACCTCCTTCCTCAAGTCTGTTCTCTGTTTTACTTTCTCCTACCTCATACAGTATATCTCCTATCTCAAATTCTATCCCTATCCTTTCTTCTCCAGCAAAAGATGAAGAAAAAAATCCAACATATACATATTTTTGTATTTTTGATGCCTGAGCTACATTTTCAAAATATGTCAAATTTTAAATGTGTGTTTATATATATAATT